ACTCAGTAAAACCGGAACTAAAGAAGCAACTCAGTACAAAATGCCCTCCCCCCCCCGTCGACATACTGCGTCTGCCACGTCTTCTTAGAACGAGTCCACCTCTCCAAAAGGGGTCATGAGACTACACAATACTCCAGTTAAGAGTTCGTTCATATTTAGAGTCAGCGTTTCGAGCGTACACACGTCAATGCCAGCATTTTGAGCGACTAGGAAAGTATAGATGTTGAACTAGCTGTTTTGAGCATACACCGGCATCTTGAGCGTCGGGGAACTATTCGCGAGCAGTCGCTGAAATCGCTGGTGTACACTCAGAAAGCTATGTATACTACCCTAATTGCTCAAGACGCCCACGCAAAGTATGAACGTAGCCTAAGAACTTTTTGAAATGCTCTAATGTATGTTAATAACACTTGCAGGGGAGAAAAAGCGAGTTTAACGTGAAAAACTACATTTTTCTGAAAAAGTTATAAGCTGCTGTTAATCAGTCCCTCATGCATGCGGGCCAATAATAGAAAACGAAACCATGCCCTCCAAATAATCACGGGAAAGCCGCAAAGACGGCTTCAAAGTAACGGATGTTTTTGGAAATACGTTGTTTTATGCACAAAGCGACCCTAAACAAGGGTACATTGGTGCTCAAAATGGTGCGACATTTGAAATAAAGAAGAGAAGATTGCAGGTGTGATCGTTTAGAATGTGCGGACTCTTCCATATGACGAAACACTGTGCATTAAGGGCGATGCGAGAAAAGTAAGCAAATCTATTCGCGCAACAGTGGATTTGGTACCTCGTCCCCGAGTAGTAAGAAAAAGAAAGTTTGAGCCAAGGGTGTAAGAGCGGGCGATATTGAATTATACATCTGCAATGTCTCGGAACCCGTAACCTGTTCATATACACTCCAGATTCCTGAGATGCGGTAGGCGTGGCTGCGCACTTACTAGGGAGGTCGTTCAGGACGTGGAGCGCTTTTTGAAAACGGTTTTTTGCATGATGTGGGGTCACGTGCATGGAGTACCAAACTGGTGTTCATTTTTCCTGAACGCCTCTGGGAATGCCAAAAATGGAG